ATATGAATGTATATATGTGTACATACATGGCCATATAGTTAGGTAGACAGGTGATAGAGATCAATTATAGATAGAAGCTATGTGGATAGATAGATATATACCCTGCGTGCATGCGTGTGTGCACAGATAAATCTAGACTTTAGAAAGTCTGGAATTTGTAGGTAGCTTAACTGGTGTGATAAGGTGGCTTTATAAAAAGAAAGGAATTTGGAACTAGGAAACTTAGGTTTGAGATTCTTTTTACAATTTGCCAGTTCTGCAAGTTTGGGCATGACCCAAGATCTCTTCAAACTCAATCTATAAAATGGGGATGATTCAGGCCTGGAGAGATGGCTCAGCGGTTAAGAACACTGGTTGTTCTTGCAGAAGACTCAGGTTTGAATCCCAGCACCCACATGGCAGCTAACAACCGTCTGTAACTCCAGTTCCAGGGGATCCGACAACCTCTTCTGTCCTCCGTGGGCATTGCACAACATGGATGCACTTACCTACACGCAGGCAATACACACATACACATAAAATAAAAATAATAAAATTTTAGTAATGGGGATGATTCTGTTGTATACTAGGTTGCAGTAGGGATCAGATAAAGGAATACAAAGAACCTTATAAGATATGCACTGCTGTTACTAATACTGATATTTCAAGGAAACCAAGCTTTGAAAAATACTACTGCAATCTTGTTTTCTAAAGGGTCAAGAAATACAGAAGTCATGAAACTCCATTTGTATAGACTAATCCCCAGAAAGGCAACCAAGGTCCAAGAAGTAGAGAAATATGATATAATTACAAAGCTAGGGAGCAACTGAGCTGAGATTTAGAACCATGGATGCCTGACTTCAAATGCTGTGTTTCTGCTGAGCCAGTTTGTCTTTCTTTTCTTTTTTTTTTTTTTAAAGCCAACCTATATACTTCTTCTTGGCAGCAAAAATGAAAGACATTTATGTTTGAAACTAACTCATCCTGATAATTCCCAATTAAGATGTTGTCATCTAGCATCTGGCTCCATTTCCTTTTATGAAATATTGTAAACATAATTTGAGTATAGCTTAAATGAAGTGTCCAAATGGGATAAAAACAGGTCACCTGGGAAATTAGATTTTATAGATTACAAGAATTTAATGCCTAAGTTGTACTTAATGGGCATAATTTTTTAAAGAAAATTCTTTGGAAATGACTGGTCTATCAATTTCATCATTATTTCTATAACTCTACAGTGTAGGCCAATTAAGGTCAAAATAAATAATAAAAACTTCACTGTAAGTAGTAATGAAAACATCTTTGTTAATGGACTTGAGATTCACAAGAAAAACACGAGGCTCTTTGATCCAAGTTCATTTTTTCCTTCTACCTTGTTTTTAAAAGGTTCTATGTAAAGCATTTTTGGATAAAAAGAAATTAGGGAATTGTCAGCCTTGTGTCTTTTTGAAGGAAGTGATGTTGAAGATACTTTATGTGAATATATACTTTAATCCTGAAATAAAATCTGTTTTCATGTGTCTGTGTTCATATGTATGTGAACATGTGCATAATGTGTGCATTGAGTAGAGACCACAGGTTGATGTTGCATGTTTTCCTCAATTGTTCCCACCTTTTTTAAGACAGGGTCTCTCACTGAGCTTGGAGCTCACTGGTTTACCCAGTCTGGATGGCCAGCAAGCCCCAGGGATCCTCCTATCTTTCTGCAACCCTAGTACTGGGATTACAGGCATGTGCCACCATGCCTGTCTTTTTACTTAGGTTCTAGAGAGCCAAATTCAGGTCCTTGTGCTGGCATGGCAAGCATTTTACCGAGACAACTTCTCACCCCCAGCTGAATAAAACCACTTAAAGGGAGAAGCTCTAAGTATTAATCTGATTGTTGAACAATTGGATAGACAAAATTATTTTTTTAAGATGAATGCTTTCATAATGAGGATGGAAGTACCATGGCATTAGGGGTAAGAGCACACGAGGGTATGAGGAAGCTGTTTGTACTGATTTAAATACACTGGGGAAGTTTTAGAGCATGGCTTTTGTCCTGACCAGTAAATGAACTGTCTTTTCCGCTGGAACCTGGTAAGGCGATGGTTAAATCCATGTGCTATCAAATCATGAGCTGGGATCTGGTCCCAGCTCTTACTTCTGATTTTGTAAGTTCCTGGGACTCTTTAAGGCTCAGTTTTCTCATTGGAAAATTATTGATAATAACTGCTTTGTAGGTTAGTCATAATGATTCAGCATAAACATCAATAAATGCCAATCAATACATCAATGTGGTAAAAATTATCATTATTGTCTGAGGGTTATATAACCTTCTTGACAGGTTTATTAGCATCTCCTATGACCTTATAAAACGCTTTTCAACGGGTTTAAACCACTTATAAGTTGCTCTTCTACAATGGAACAACTTAACAACATTGGGAAAAAGACACAGCACACTTATTTCAACAAAATACCAAGCCAGTTTCCTTTAAGAGACACAAAGACCTCCATAAAGCCAAAAGATTATAAAAGCAGGTCTTCTAGTAAATAATAATGAGTTTAGACCTATTTTAGAAGTAACACTAATCTGTACTCATCAAAGGAGAACATATTGATTTGTGTGTGTATTTCAAGCAACGGTCTTATGCATGATGGGCGTGTGGTCAGCAGCATACCCCCCTGGGAAAGGTGGCTTCTCTAATTGCAGTGAATTGTGATTCTATTTGTAGGTAACGTTTCCTACAGCATGCCTTCATTTCTGTGATTATTATTTAAGAATACTTGTCCTCAAATTCCTTACTCTTCTTGGAGCTGAAGGAGAAAAGTCTACAGTACCACAAGACCCTCCAAGAGTGTGTGTATCTAAGTTGAAAATGCATATGAAGCCTTGCCAATCAAGGAGTATGTCACAACCCAAAGACTACAGCACAGTTTCAATACGGAAGATCTTGAAATGCCTGCTTGGGTCACACGTGCATAAAAAGAGAAAATCAGAAGTATTGATCTCATTTGAACTCCTGAAGCACATTTCTCCTGCCCATGCTGTCTTCTCACTATGAGAAAAATACCATTTTTTTTCACTAGTAGAAAAAAAATCAAGAGCAAGAAGACAACTTACCTTCCTTTACCCAAGGAGTGTTATTTTTGTCATTTTCGAAATGCTCAGCTGTTCTGACTTTTATCTTTTCTAGCTCAGTTTCTGACATCTAAAAGGAAACAAAATTTGCGATATAAAAAATGCATTAAGAACCCAAATTTATAACACAGAGTTTTATATTTGGAGACTGTTGCCATATTATGGAAATTTTTCCTCTCTATAGTGTTTCGGTGCACTGTCTAAATGTGAAGTCTTACCTTTGATCCATTTGTGTTATTTTAAAACACTGACATTGAGAACTAAACTTGGTGTGATAGAGACTTCATTGCTCAGAAACAAAGACTGTTATAAGATCTTACATCTTTTGAATGTGAAAGGAAAGAATAACACATTAAAAAATGTCTCGGATTTGAAACAAACACTCTGTTGCTGTTTAAATTTTTCTACATACCATATAGGAAGGCCTGCTGGAAAGTAAAACAATAACCATCAAACACAAAGGGACTTCTTCAGGAATTTATTGGTGAAGTAAGAACCTTACTACCTAAGCCAGCTCAGCCTGAACCCCCTGGAGGAGCCCAGGAGACCTTTCGAGACCTTCAGTGCAGTGCACTTGACTTTCAAGGCTTGCTAGCTAAATTTCCTCTACTCAAATCCACACAGCACAGCACTTACCTGTGTGTCCCAAAAGGAGAAGGCCAGAGGTATGGGACTGGAGAGCAGTGTGCTACAACCTCCCTTGTCTCGAGGTGTCCAGCATTCCTCTATCCTGGCAGAAGTGAGCGGAGAAGCAAACACACGCCCTCCCTGGGTGGTGCTAGATTTGTATTGCTGCCAGAAGCATCCAACTTGCGGCTGAGAGGGTTTTTTTCAAGGTAATATAAAGCCTGTGGTTCAAAACAATAAAACCTCTTCCAGGCTAACACTTATTTAAACTGACACTCTACCAAATAGGGTAAAAACAACGAATTCTTCTTGAATAGACAAAGTGCCGTCTATTCCCTTCCTTTCCATCTGCCATTCACTATGTAGGATTAATATTAGAAGTTATAGAAAGGACATACTAAAATATCTACCCAGACTATTGGGGTTAAAAAAAACAGGGTGACCTCTAAAACTGAATTCCCAGATGTTCATTCTCTTGTTGCTATTTGGAAAGGCAACTTTTCTAACATAAGCAATAAAAAAATTAAATTTTTATCATTTGTAGATATTCCAAAAAGGATTTGTCATTAGTTGACACATTTTTATCATGGAAGTATTTGGTGTGTGTCCCAAAGTGGTTTCTCCCCCAACCCTGTGTGTTTACCTAAAAAAGGTGTTATCTGATTATGCAGCTGCTGTTTCCTCTACCACACAAACTTCATTTCTTCTACTATTTTGTTCACAAGCTTATCATCGTCAAAACTCCCTTGTCAGCCAATTTTAATGGAAAATTCATCTTTAATTCCTTCCATTATGAGTAAGATAAATTTCAGATTGCTTAGACAGCTATTTAAGACCTTGAATGATCAGATTTTTCTCTGTGATTTTCCACCCAAGGTCAAGATTTTTAGGCAAGACCTAACATTCAACATAATTTTACAACTCCTGTTTTGTTATTAACATCTATAGGAATGTATCCCCAAAGTTTTGGGTCACCCTTTCCTTGGAAGACTTTCAATATCTTTTTAACTGCAAGTGATCAATCCAAGTATGTGATATTACTTGGATTTTCTCATGGAATTCTGTTTCATTCAAAACAGCACTATTTTTCAGTTAGGCAACTCACTTGGAACCCTATTGCTACCTTTATCAGTCATCAATCACCTCTGATAAACGCCATAGATATTGATAAGCATAGAATTCATTTTTGTCTCTATCCCAGCAGTAAAGCTGTTAAAAACAGGTATTAAGTAGTTTGTTCTCAGTCATCTGTTTCTGACTAGTGTCCTTGTTAGACACTATGCTGAGTATTCCCTTCATGTGCCAACATTGAAACTGTCTGTTCACCTGTTTAGTGACAAGCATGAACTATAGAATTCTCTGTCTGGGCAATGGACTGATTTGGACTGTGATTTTAGCCTCTTGAGTTAGACTGAGCTGTGGAATGAATGGCTGGAAATAAAGACAAACAGAAGTTCAAGGAAGCAGTCAGGACAGATGCTGGTCTGGGGTCTGATCAGAATCCATTGATACTTTTTTTAACTGAAAATTTCATACATGTATACAATGTGTTTTGATCAAACCTATCCCCATTCCCTTCCCTCCAATTCTTCTTCTAATCCCTTAAAATCCCCCCACCACCACTGAGTACACCTATTACTGCCTGTATGTGCATCAGTGGAACTGGCCTCCAAATTACTATATAACTGAAGACTGAACTTGAACCCCTGACCCTCCTCACCTACCTCCTGAGTGCTGGAATTACAGGCATGCACCTCCACTTCTGGTTTATGTGGTGCTGTGGATAAAACTCAGGGCTTTTTGAATGCTGTACTGCATCCCCAACCTAAACACATTTTACAGGAGTTCTCTTTGCAAATAAGGATTGTTGTATTTAGAAACGTGTTTGAATCCAGAGATGGTGTTGCAAAGTTTATATTTTCTTCTTAAATTATGATTTCTTTTTCTTTTTTTTTAAATTTATTATTTTTATTTTATGTGTATGGGTATATTCCCTGTGTATAGGTAAGTGCACCTGTGTCATGCAATGCCCATGGAGGACAGAAGAGGCTATCAGATCCCCTGGAACTGGAGTTATGGACAGTTGTTAGCTGCCATATGAGTGCTGGGATTCAAATCCAGGTCTTCTGCAAGAACAGTGTTCTTAACTGCTGAGCCATCTCTCTAGCCCCTATTTTTCTTTTAAAAATGGAAATAATATGAATTCAATCTTGCAATAAATTCTTTTGATTTGACTCAGTAGCTCTGCTTCAGGATCAAAATCTGATCCTAAAATAGAATCTTTGAGGACAGGCTGTCCATCAGAAGGCAGTTTTTGCCAAAAGAAAAGCCTGCAAGGTGATCACATTTCACACTCTTGTTCCTGTTAGAATCCAATTGAACCCATGAGATAGAATCATTTTAACAAATAAGAAGTATGTGAATTTTGTGAGTTTTTTATTGTTTTAAAATATACCACATTAACATTTAGTATTGCTTTAGGAAATGAAATTAATGTAAAATTAATGTAAGAATATTTAATCTGTGTGTAATGATGTTACCAACTTACCTTATTGAATTTTAGAAATATAATTTGTAGAATAGCGTGCCTTTGAGGATTTGTGGGTTCAATCTAAATACAAATACGATGATACAGAAAGGTGAGTTACTTATTTGAAAGTCTTTTTTGCTATAGAATAGAATCTCCAGTATTGAGTATAATGAAAAATTTTCAGTAGCCATTCAAATAACTAACACAAGCCACCAAGTAGTGTACATTTAACATTTTTATTTGACTATTTTGTGTCCTTGGTGCAAGAATTCATATGGAACAACTAAGCTTTGGTCCAAAGTATCAAAGACAAACCTAAATAAAAGATTAATAAAATTCCATATTTGCCACATGGACTCTGCCAGAGGCCATAACAGTTAATATCATGAAGCATACCAGATCTATGGCTTGGATGTTTGGCTTCTCAGAAGCTAAGGTATGAAATAACAACACTGAGGATATAAAATCATGGTTTTATCATTCTTCCATGCTAGTCATTTAAAATGATATTTATAGCAATCAAATTGTTTTCATGCACTAAAGTTATTTTCATTAACTTAGCTATTTGTTGAAAACAGAAAATGTTATAAAAACAAATCTGCATGTTATTCCCTAGAAGGTTTTTTATGAAAATGCTTGTTTTCACAAGGCATGATGCCAAGCATCCTTTACTTAATATGGTCCACTAGGGTAAATACATGAGAGAATTTCATACCTTGTCAGTTCCTTTATTCAGTTTCTGTTTTATACTATCATTTTGATGTTTCCTGTGTGCAGCTGTCATAAACCCATAAGTTATGTGTTGTGTATACAACTGGTTTTCGCCTAAAGAAGTCAAAAGATAAAATCATTTCTATTCACACCTAAATCACTATCATTTCTGATTCTGCCCTTTCATTTTCATAGATGGGAGTTTTCATCTGATGCCATTCCACTTCAGCCAAAGAATTTCTTCTGCATATCATGAAATGCAAGTATATTGATGACAAAATCCCTTAGACTTTATTATCTGCAGACTGCATTTACTCTAGATAACATTTTTTCCTTTTTCTTTTTTGTGTCCTGGGAGCGGATTTTAGGGCCTTGTGTATACTAGGAAGCACTCTAACATTGAGCGATATCCCCAGCCTTCTTTCCACTTTTTAATTGGGGACCAAGTCACCCAAGCTGCCTTTGAACTCTCTCTTAGCCTGTACTGGCTCTGAACCTGGAGATCTCTGGGCTCAGCCTCCCAAGCGGTTGGGATACTGGCTTGTGCCACCAAGCCTGGCTGAGCTATTTAATTCTTTTTGCTCTTCCTCATTGCTTTTCCTTCTTCCTTGTTTTTGAGGTCACTCCTATCCCAGGTCCCTTATGTCCACCTTTCCACCTTTCTAGCTAATTGACTTTTTCCTCTTCTTGTTTTTTGTTTGTATATTTGTTGTTTTAGCTGCCTGACTGCACTATATTTAGGGATTTCCTTCATCTTTCATTGTGGTTTTACTCTCTTTGCTCTTAGCTGAGACACTGGGTTCTGTCCATTGATGCTTTTCACCAAATTTAGGGCACTTGACTCACTTTTTCTTCAAATACAGTTTTTCTGTCCTATTCTGTGTCCTCTCTCTCTAAGAGTCCAATTATAGACGCATTAGACCACTTGATAGTTCCACACAGGCCACCTTATTTTGCAGCCCTCTTCTCTCTTATTCAGATTCAATAATTCTTTGTAGACTTGCCTCCTGGTCACTAACCTTTCCTTCTGTAGTCCCCTGTCTCTCACAAGGACCATCTGGTGTGCTACTTTTCATTTTAGAGTTTGCATCTAGTCCTTGGTGTAATTCCTATTTATTTGTTGGTGCTTCCCAATGTCATTTATTACCACCATCTTTTCCTTTATTTTCTTTATTTTGATATTATAGATAGTCTAGTGTTATCATCTGATGAATACAATGTCCTGGTCTATTAACTCTTTTTGCTGTTGTTTGTTTAATTTTTCTGCATGCTACATTTGAAAATATACATCTTCAAACATCTATTTTTTATTTGTATGTTGAATGCAGTGGATGAGATATAGTCTGGATTTTGCTGTATTTTTTTGATAAACATTGAACTTGTTCTAGAAAATAGTGAGATTGCTAATGTCATCTTTTAAATCTATAAAGTTTTGTTTTAGTATTCTTATAATGAGTCAAGTTTCCTTCTCTTGGTTTTAGGAAATAATGCATGTTATTTGATCGGCTTACTATGCCAAAGATATGTCCTTTTCTAGATGTCAACTAAATGCCCCAAATGCTCAGGGCAATATTTATGCTCTAGTTCGTCCAGAAAAAAAAATCTTCAAGCACTGTGTTGACTGTGCATCCTCACTCAATGTTCAGCTTCACATGTGCCATGTTTTGCAATGATGTTCTGGAAGTCTCATCTCTGTATACACACTCTAGCCATTAGCTGCACATGTTGTAAGACCTGCCTTTTCTCTACTTTGCACAATTCCATCTTCTATCTATTCCTGCACTGCAAACTCTTAACACTTCACAACACATCTTTAGTCTCTCTTCTCACTTCAGCAAGTTTATGGCTCAATTTATACCTCACCTCTCCATGACGAAGGGAAAGGGATGCCAGTCAAGAGCTAGAGCCAAGTTATACTTCCTCTTTTGTGTTTTCCTACTC